ATTTTCTTTTGTCTTTCTCGTTTTATACATACGCAAATTATACAATTGAATTGTATACAACTGCTTTCTTTTGTATATGTATAGCGAATTATACAATTGGTTTTTTTGTATATCTCTAGCAAATTCTACAACTATTTTTTTTTGTATATGTATAATAAATATACATATTTATATTTATTATGAAACATAATTATACAAATTTTGTTATAACATACAAATATAAATTTTATATTTTATGAGAATTGTACCAAGAAAGTGAGAGGTTTTTCTAATTACGAGTAATTTTCTAAAGTAATTTAGTTTCTAGAAAGTATTTAGTTAAATTAAAGAAAATTAAAATATGTTATTTAATTCAAAGATGATTGTTATAGATTTTTCACAAATCAAACTGGCTTCGTTATTTGTGGTAAAATTATATTAACACTCGATTGACATAAAGTAACATACTATTACGATAAAATTATCATTGATCCTTTATAAATTTATAATTACAGAATTTTTTCAAATTGATATAATATTATAAGTGTTGATACATTAATCTAATACACGAGATACATTAATGTTAAGTAAGACACTAATTTGATGTATATTTTATAGATAATACAATAATTTGATAGGCGAGATATATTAATCTGATGCATGATATACATTTATATAATGCGCTGATATATCAATATGATGTGCAAAAATAAAAGATTTTAAAAATTTGTAAAATTAATGAAGAATAATGGTAATAAGAAAATTTAAATATGAGGTTTTTGTCATTTATTCTTTTTTTAACGGTGATATCAATAGAGAATTTTTGCAATGGTAGGCCGAAAGCATTTATTTCGAGGAGTAAAAAGTTTGTTGAAAAAAAAAATCATTTTTGGCAAATCAATAGAAGTGCTTTTAAATAGAAGTAGAAATAGTTTTTCTACTATTGGGGATAAAAACTAAAAAAAAGAATTTGCTTAAAAAAAACAGAATCAAAAACAAAAAATTCCTTTTCTTAATTCTAAAATTTCCCTTTCGTATATACATATTTACCAATGGATCTCTTATTAATTAATTGACACATATATCTTATAAATTCAGTTAAATTTTATTTAAGAATTTATTTTTTATATTTATATAATTAATGTTATGTTTTCTTTTTAAGTTTATAAATTATTATTTTATATTTTACACATTTATTACGTATAATTTGATAAAATTAGAAAAAAAAAGATAACAACAATATTTTTGTAAAATTAGAAAAAAGAAAAAAATAACAATTAAAGATTTCACCGACTTTAATATATACTTTTTAATTTAATAAAAATAAAAATTTAATTAACTTTTAAGATTTTAAGAATAAGTTTCTCATTCAGGTCTAATATGTAGAAAGCATCATTAAGATTGTTGAACAAAACTGTGAATTGGTTTGATCAGTGAAGAAAAGGGTGTTAATAATATCTTTTTCTTTCTTCTTCTTCCCAGCTTCACCATTGAAGGAGAGCTTGAAGTTTTTTTTTTCGTTTTTCACTTAGATTGGATTTCAACGGAGATATCTGATTGTAACTAAATAACACAATCTTAGTACACATTGTCACTAACAAAAAAATCTCATTGATAACGGAGGGTGAAAAGATATGACGGCGACTTCGTAATAGAATCGACGACATTATTTAAATTAACCCCTGATCAATTTACTAGGGCTGAAATCATGTTAGTTCGATAGAAATTTTAATTTAAATTAAGTTAATTTTGAAAGCGGATTTGATTTTTCAACAAATAAGACTTTTTCTTCAATATTGATTTAGTATTGTAATGGTGTTTAGCAATGGCGACCACTCCATAGAACGAAGACGAATGGATGGGTTAACACTTAAGCTCAATTGAAGAAGAATTAAAAATATATATATATAAAAAAGACAAGAGATAAGAAAACTATATAAAATTGACAGGTGGCAAGCAATTATTAGTGCTTGCATACACTTTTTTTTTTTGTGAGATTAACCAAAATATGAAATATTTATATCATTTTATAATTATTTAGAAAGAATACTAGAACCCTTATAAAGATTGAATGTCTTTTTTTAAAAATAGGTCTTATTTCAATGAAATAATTATGTATTTTCTCTTTTCACATAAATAAACATGTTTTATGTTTAGTAATACTAGTTACGTACAAGAGGATTAAGATTCAGATGACTGATTAGTGTTTTTTTCTAAAAAATAAATCTTTATCTTGAAATCTATTTGACGTCATTAAAACCTCATTTCACACTTTTGTGTAACAAGTTTATAAAAAAAAAGGAAAAATGCATAAACAGCCCTTAATCTATCCCAAAATTCTATTGACACGCTTATACTATACTAAGGTCTTATTACCCTCTCAACTTATTTCATAAACAATTTTTTATCCCTTTTCGACCTATATGATACTAACTTGAAAAAAAAAGTCAACACACGCTTGGTCCACAATATAGTGTCATGTAGGCCTAAAAGGAGTAGAAAATATTTTATAAAATAAGTTCAAAGGGGTAATGAAACCTTAGTATAGTATAAGTGTGTCTATGAGATTTCGGGTAGATTTGGAGTGGAGGATACTTGTGCATTTTTCCCATAAAAAAAGGGCAACTTTCACATATAGCAAACAAAAAAATCATATTTGTATAATATAGCAAACTTTGCATAATTGCGCTCCATAGCAAACATAAAAACTGTATAATTCGCTATACATATAAAAGTGTATAATTCGCTGGCCTAAATTGTATAATTCGCTGGCCTAAATTGTATAATTCACTGGACTATTTCGCTGCAATTGTATAATTAGCTTTGCATACAGTTGAATCGAATTAAAATATATGTATATTGCATAATTACAAGTGTATAGCAAGAAAGATATATGTTTTTCTCGCTTTATACAAAAACAGAAACACAATATATACACTTCTGTTGTATAAAACTAGAAAAATTGTATTTCACTGCAATTGTATAATTCACAATTATATAATTTTTTGGCCTTTTTCTCTGCATTATTTGAAGTAAAATGTTTGTAAATTATATAATTAAGTGTATAACACGAAGATATACATTTTTGCATGTGTATATACAATTTTCTCTCGCTTTATACAAAACAGAAACAGAAATTATACACTTCTGTGTATAAAGCGAGAGAGGCGAGAATGGGAGAGTGGCGAGCGAGACTTCTGGGAGAGAGACGCCTGACAATTTTTTGCCAATGTTTGCTATGGAGCACAATTAAATCAAACCCTAGCTATTCAATTTAATTTAGGTTATTAGTTTGCTATTTTAATACAATTTTCCCTAAAAAAAACACTACTTCACAATGAACGTTTATTGGTCTCGGACCTCTTCTATCTTAAAACTGAAATATACAAAAATTATATCTTACTTATAAATATTATAGGTAAATTTTAAGCAAAAGAAAATAGTAAATTTCATTCGAAATGTAGAGACAATGATGTCAGATTCCATGAAGTTTTTCTTAACAAGATAACAATGGTAAATTTTGTTAGTTACATGAGATTTACAATTAAATTTAACACTTTTTAATTTAATTTTATAAATCAATTAGGTTTGCACTAAATGAGCAGAGTGAATATCTTTCGTTATACATTAAGAATAATATGAATCAAGTAAATATATAGAATCAAGATAAACACCTTTTACTATAAATAAGGATCATTCCAATATAATGAAAAAAATTTACAATCTAAAAATAAAGCACTAATCATATTTTGATTAGTTTCTCATATTTGTTTGACATAAACTAATTTGAGATCAGCGTCGCCTCAACAACATTGTGGGATCTAAGGCGAAACTTAAGAGAGGAGCGCAAATATTTTTTTCACATATATACTTTTATTTAACATTTATTTTTCTAGCTATTTTAAATGCGAAGTCATTAAGTATTGATTTATAATAAATTTGTCTTAATAATTTCTTTTTGAATGATAATATAGTTAATTTATTTGATATTTCTTGAAGCATTGTTAATCTTAAAGAAGATTAAATCAATTTTAATTTCGAAAAATTTTCTTTGGGTTGAGGCAACAATTATATGAACTCTTATTATTATTTTATAAGCAATATGTGTATTTAGAAAAGAATCAAGTCTTTTTGTTTGCTTGAGCATTTTCATTAGATCATTATCTTCTACTTGTATTATTTCTCTAAATACTTTTAATTCAAAAAATAACTCCAAATCATCATATCAAAATAATTATTATGTATTAAAGAAAGTTCAAGGTTAAGGCAATATATTTAATCATTTAGTGATATCAATATTTTATCATTAAATAAGATATTAATTGGTTCAAAACTATTTTGAAGCGAAAAAAGTAATTTGAAGTGAAAAAAAGTAATTTGATCTACTCTATATACCTAAAGTAATCAACTCTAAAAGATTCTTCAAGGGACTTTGTGATTTCGTTATCCATATTTTCATCAAATTGTTTCTTAGTAGAAATCATAGCACTCATAAAAGTTACGAAATTCAAATTTATATTCATATCATATGTAATTTTCTTAGTAGAAATCATAGCACTTATAGTAAATATAATTTTTTATTTTTTAAAATAACATATACAAGTAATTTTTTTAAATGGAGGCCCCAAACGGTGACTTTTGTCACGGATTTAGAGTATTTGCTAAGACTCCGTACGACACTTGATAACTTACTCGAAAACTCTGGAAGAAGACTTTTGTATTGCTTGGAGAATGCTTACAACATTGCTTGGTTTGTTTGTTTCAAGCTTAGATGCCTTGCAAATGAATGTCAGCCCCTATTTATACTACCTCCTAAGAACCTAAGTATAAATATTATTTACTTTACAAGTCCCTCCTTATTTACACTTTAGTCCTTCTCTAGAAAATTTTACACAATCTTGGAATTTCTAAATCTTTTCAAGAAAATATCTAAGTTATTCTAGAGTATTCTCTAGCCTTCTATATTAGTCTAGAAGGTTCTAGAATCCAACGCAAACCTCTCCATCATTCTAGACCCATCATTCTAGACCCTTCCGCTCCCATCCAGACGTAAAATTTAATTGTCATGTGATGGGACATGACACTTTAGAGCCTAGGGGGTTAAGATGAACATATTTAAGATCCTTTAGGTATATTGCTTACTTCCAAACTTCAACTACTATATAATCACAATTCACAAGTCAAATTAAGAAATAAAATAAATGAAAGGCCATTTACTTCTAAAGAATTAAACTGGATTCCATATATGCCTACAAATTTTCAGAAACCAAATATGGAAAAGAAACAATTTTGATAGATATTTAATTTTCAATCTCTTCCTATAAATAGACATTTCCATCAAACCATAGAAACACCCCAAATTTCAAAACAAATTTTACTTGTTGAAGAAGAAGGAATTAAAGAGAATGGGAACAGGAAAGAAGAAAATAGAGATTGAGAAAATCACAAAGCAAACTGCTAGAATGGTGGCATTTTCGAAAAGAAGGAAAGGACTTTTCAGAAAAGCTGAAGAACTTGAGTCCATGTCAAGTTCTCGTGTTACCTCTGTTGTTATTTCACCTTTTGGCAAGCCTTATACTTATGGAAATGTTAACTCTGTTATAAAGAAGTATTTTTCCATCTGTATCCGCCCAGAAATATCAACACCAGTGATGAATTCTCATCCTTCCTCTTCTAATGTTTCTGGTGAATCTTTGGGGTCAAAATCTTCATCGACCCCAAATGGAAATGCTCTCTGCAATTGGGTGGAAGGTATAGATGTCGAAGAATGTCAAAATCTGAACCAACTGTTAATGTTGAAGAAGCAATTGGAAGGAACTAGAGAGAAGATTGTTTCCAAAGAATCTGAATCATTTCAAGCTTTGTTTATTTAGCATGTCTCAATAGAATGTGTGGTTTAAAAAATAAGACCTGAACATATTTTTTCAAAAAATAGATTGTACTTTTGTTAAAATGCAGAATCAGAAGCAGACAATTACAAGTTTTTCTCATTATATGTTTTAATTATTTAGATTATCATATGAGTGAGCATTAGGTGAATTTTATATATCAATTATTTAATTATACTATTTTCAAAATTAATGTTTCCTTTGTGAATATCATTTGTTTTAATTAGCTGATTTCGCTTTTAAGCAATGTACTTTTTATAGAAATGTGTTATACATCTAACGTTTATTCTAGAAAATAAATCAATATGTATTGACAGGGCCATCTTCACCCTAAGATCATAAAGCCATTGTTAGGGGCCAAGATACTTAGGTGGTAATCCTAGTTGGCAATTTAGGTGGAGAGATCAGTCCACGTGATTTGCTACGTCATTAAATTTGAGTATTAACTCTTGAAGGACATTTGTGATCTCTTGAAATAACATCGGGGTTATCCTATAATATAACAAAGGGTGTAAATAATCTATTCCGCATAATTAAGACCCCTTTTTGTTAAAATAATGTACTTTAGGACCTCTCAATTAAGTGCTAATATTATTGCCATAAATAATTAAGCCAATTTAATTTGTGAAAAAATTATAACAATTCATTTTGAATTACATAAGATATTTCATTTTTTCATAATTAGACTAAATACTTTTTGTCAAAAGAAAGTTAATTAAATTAATAGTTTTTTCTATTATATAGAAACATGAAAAGCATAGTTTGGAAAAATGCACAAGTATCTCCTCAATTTGTGCTCGAAATTCCAGAGACACACTTATATCATACTAAGATTTTATTATCTCCTGAACTTATTTTATAAGTAATTTTCTATCCTTCTCGGCTTACGTGACACTAGCTTAAAGAAAAAGTCAACAAGCGTTGTGCCGATAAGATAATGTCACGTAAGTCGAAAATGGATAGAAAATTATTTATAAAAAAAATTCAGATATAATAAAACTTAGCATAGTATAAATGTGTTTTTGAAATTTCGGGGCATAAGTTGAATTGATAGTTGTCTATTATCCCTAGTTTAATTGTACATTTTACCCATGTTCTTTCTTCAATTGCTCTGCTTCTCGACTTCTCTTCTCAGGTGGGTATCGCCTATTTCATAAAAGAGAGTCCAACAAGTTGTTCAACTAAAGATAGCATATAATATATCAAAATACTATTTTAATTTTAACGTATTAAACATGTTAGGTAGAAAGTTATAATTAGAGATTAATATCATACAATAAAAAAAAAGATATTCTCTTTTAATCAACGCAAAATCGATGACAATAAGAGACAAAAAAAATTGAAATAAAGGATTAGCTATTTGTTGTTTTCTACTTTAGTTTCAGTTATATATTTTCTTTTAATCATAGTAAAAACGATGACAATAAAAATGATGAATTCAAATGTGCCTAATATATATATTCTATATATGGAACCAGTAGTATGTTTATCCCATATTAGTTTTAAATCTTGAAAATCTCTCATTTTCGTGTATCAAATTAATTTATCAGTATCATATTAATGTATCTCATACATTAAATTAATATATTTCGTATATCACATAAATGTATCATGTATAAAATGTATATTAAATTAGTTTATTATGTATAAAATATATGTATCTTTTTTAACGATTAATGTATTTCACGCATTAAATTAATATATCAATATTATATTATTATTATATCAATTTAAAATTTTTTATAATTATAAACTTATAAAAAAATAATAATTTTACATTAAAAATATGTGATTTCTATCGTTTGGCTTAGCTTATATATTACTCGACTTATAGAGCATGAATAAAATTAAATGTTGAGCCCGTATTGCAAGGGTCATACTAATCTAGTAAACAAATATGTCTCCTCATTTAAGACGGCAAGAAGTTATGTGATTTGAATCATTAGAAAATAAACAAATGAAAAAAAGTGTTTTTTGGTTTAAAATAGTGATGTATTATACATAATAAATTGTATAATTACTACAAAAGAAGACAAAATCAAAAGATATGAAAACAAATTAACACTTGTGTGGCTAGATTTGTCAAGGGACCTGGTATATTGACCCTAATTACACATTAACATATTAATTAGTGCTAATATAATTTTTATTATATATAAATTTGTTTGATTAGTGAAAAATATATAATAATCCAATTTAAATTAAAGAATATATTTACTCTTTTTGTTAATTTAACCAAATACTTTCTAGAAACCAAATTATTTTAGGATATTACTTGTAATTGAAAAAAAAAGAAGTAATACTCAACTTTTACTTTCTTGTGCAATCCTTAAAAAAGAAAGTTAATTAAACCAATGATAAATGAAAAGACGCGTCTCATTTATTATTTAACAGAACAAGAAGTTATATGATTAAATTTGGGAAAATAATATATAATAGCAAATTAATATTCTAAAATAAATGAAATAATTATGGTTTGATTTAATTCTGCTTCATAGCAAACGTTTGTAAAAAATTATCAGACGCCTCTCTCCCAAATATCTCGCACGCCACTCTCCTCCAATCTCTCGCTCGCTTTCTCACTTTTTATACAAAAACAAGTGTATAAAAATTATTTCTAATTGCATGAAGCATAGAAAATTGTATAAATACATATCTTTTTGTTCCCCTCTCTTTCCTCTTCCAGATCTCGCTCGCGACTCTCCCAAATCTTGCTCGCCACCCTCGATTTTCTCACTTATACAAACAGAAGCGAAATGTATAAATCGTGTTTCTGTTTGTATAAAGCGTGAGAAAATTATATATACACATGCAAGTACATATATTTTCGTCCTATTCACTTATAAGTTTCTTTTGCCTTTCACTCTTTTTCGTTTTATACAATTTTCAAATTGTATCTAATTTTTCTCTTTCTCGTTTTATACAACTCGAATCAATTGTATATTCCTTGTCAAGTTTTTTTTGTCTTTCTCTCTTTCTCATTTTATACAAATTCAAATTGTATATAATCATTCTACACACTTATAATAATATAATTCATTTCTTACGCTTCGTTTTTATACAGTTCTCTGTCCAAGTGTCTTTTGCTTTCTTGTTTTATACACTTTGTTTTATACAATTGTTTCAACTGTATATATATAGCAAATTATACAGTTTCTATGTTTGCTATGAAGCGCAATTATGCAAACTTTGCTATAGCATACAAATATAAATTTTTTATTTGTTATATGTGAAAGTTGTCCCTTAAATTAATAAAAGAAAAATACAATAAAAGACGTGTTCTGTCCTTTAAAATAATGAATTGGTAATGAATTATATGCAGAAAATTTTAATGGAGAAATGGTAAATAAAATAATGTGTATTTTCATTAAAGAGAAATCTTTTTTATATTTAAAACGGTGATAATTTATACAAAACAAAAATTTCAAAAATTACCCCTAATACCAAAAATAATAATGAAAAGATAAATAAAATAGTTTGAGAATAACTATGATCCTTTTTGAATTAAATAATAAAGTAAAGTATTAATGAATATTTAAAAATTCAAATATACTAAAGTTAAGTAGCGACTAACTTTTTTAACATAAATAAAATTTTACTGAAAATCCTTTTTGTACAAACATAAAAATTAAATAAAAAAAACATTTAAAGAAATCAGTCAATGTTTAAAGAAAGGTAATAACAAATTAGGAAAAAAATTTATAAGAAATTTGTTATCGTTTAAGTCGGTGGAATATATATAGAGACAGAAAAATTAGGAATCAATTATAGATAAGAGAAATAATCTCAATAGGAAACTACCAATTTTCATAACTTTAGAAATCCTTTCCTAAAAGGTATCTGATTTTCACAGTATGGCCCATTAATTTAACGAAAAATTGTATTTTTTGAATCGAAATATAATTTAAAGTTATATTTATATTATTTTAAATAGTTTAAAAGTAATTTTAATTCTATTTTTAATGAAATATTAAAGTAAAATGTTAATGAATATTTTAAAAATTCAACTATACTAAAATTAAGCAAGCGACTAACTTTTTTAACATAAATAAAAATCCTTTCTGTATAAACATAAAAAAATTAAAAGAAATCAGTCAATGTTTTTAAAGAAAGATTAAAACAAATTAGGAAAAGAAATTATAAGAATTTGTTTAAGTCGGTGGAGTATTTATAGAGACAGAAAAATTAGGAATCAATTATGGAAAAGAGAAATAATCTCAATAGGAAACTACCAATTTTCATAGCTTTAGAAATCCTTTCCTAAAAGGTATCTGATTTTCATTAGCTTATAAATATCAAATTTATTTACCCCAAAATTCTAAAAATCTGAAAGCAAAATATACTTCTTGAAGAAGAGCAAAATTTAGTATAATGGGTACAGGGAAGAAAAAAATAGAGATCGAAAAAATAATGAAGGAAACATCTAGAATGGTGACATTTTCGAAAAGACGAAAAGGACTTTTTAAAAAAGCTAAAGAACTTGAATCCATGACAGGTTCTCGTGTTGCGTCGGTTGTTTTTTCACCAACCGGAAGGCCTTATACTTGTGGAGACGTTAATTTCGCTATACAACAACATTTTTCTAGTATTCGATGTATGGAATTATTAATTTCAGGTCCTAATTATGATTTTGATTCTGATTCTGGGTTGAAATTATTATCGAACTCGAACAGCAGTGGTCTCCGCCGTTGGGTGGAGGGTATAGATGTCGAACAATATCAAAATTTGAATTATTTGTTAATGCTGAAGCAACAATTGGAAGGAACGAGAGAAAAAATCGGTTCCATTGAACAGCTTGAGTTATTTGAAGCTTTGTTTGTTTAAGTTTAAACTTTTTAACTTAGATTATTTGTGTTACTAGATATCATGTGTTCGCGTCAGTATAGTATGTAAGTATTTTTCTTTTGAAAAAGTGAATTGAATTCTTACTTTTTTTTTTATGTTTTTTTTTAAAAAAATATTTTAAATTGTTAATTTATGGAGTACCTTTTATGTTATTTTTGAATAATATATGTTAGTTTATTTATTTTATTTTATGCGATACAAGTGATTTTAGAAAAGTAAACAAAATTTTTTATATGATTTTTTACGTATTTTTAGTTTTCATTTTATTGTGATTCATAAGTCTTAGTTATTTTCAAACAATATATGCAACCTTTTTGTTTCGATAAAAATAAGGAAGTCAATCAAATTTTATTATGATTTTTAATTATATTTTTCTAAAAATATGTTAAATTGTTACATTGCGTTTTTAAGTTTCTTTTTCTCACGTAATTTTCAAATATGTAACAAATTAGAAAATAAAACGAAGAATTAAAGTTTTCAAATCATTATATTTCTATATTAAAATGTTTAAATCTTTAAAACTCCACATATATACACAAATTAATAGAAGGAAGATATGAAAACTCATTTCAATAATAACACATATATTTCATTTTCAATATATGACTCCCTCCTTTTTGATTTATATGAACTTATTTTTTATTTCATTTCAAAAAGAAAATAACTTTTGAATTTTAATTTTTTTATATATAGCATATTAAAGATCACAAAATTAAAAAATATTTTAGTACACAAAATTTAATATACATATAAATTTTAATTATATCATCCTATTTATTTTTATTTATAAAGTTACTTTTAACATCTTTTTCTTTAATTTCAATCTAATATATATTATTGATTTTATCACACTAATTTATTTTCACGTATATTAATTAGAACCATAATAAAGATTGAAATAATTATTTCGTAATATTTTCATATAAAAAGTAGGTTTTTTAATAAGCATAATGAATAGAAAAAATATTGAGAATTAAATTAAAGTAATAGTGAAATAGAGTAATAATAAAATAGATACCACAATAACTAACAAAAGAAATAAAAAGGAAACGAAGTAACAACAAAATAAGTTAATGGTAATAACAATTACTTAAGATGTGTCTAGAACTATTTAATTTTTTTGTTATCATTCTTGGTAGATTTTTGTTAGCGTGAAATTATATTTTTGTCCTTGATCATTATTCATTTCATATATAGAAAGATAATTATAGAATTATTTATTATTTTTCTTTATAGATTTTTGTTGGCGTAAAATTACATTTTTACTCTTGATCATCCTCCACTTCTCTCTTGTATATAATAGAAATTTATATACTTGTATTGTTTTTGTTTCTTATAAAAGTTATGATTATTCCTAAATTTTATAGAGTTAATTAAACTTAATGGAAAATTTAGAAATGTAACCTATATAGTGATTGTTTGGTTTCTTTTCAACATAAATGCTTTTTGAAACTAAAAAATGTGACAATAAACTCAAAAATAAATGTGACCGATAAACTCAAAGATTTGGCCGGTTTGGCGCGTATATATATATATATATATATATATATATATTCAAAGGTTTAGTGTATATTTTTTTTTTAGAAAAATTAACTTATGATTATATGGGCTTTTTTATGTTCTGTAAAAAAAATCGTGTTTTTTAAACTCAAAGATTTGGTGTGTTTTTTCTAAAGAAAGATTGGATTTTGATTATTTGGGCTCATTTATGTTTTGTTAAGGAAAAAAGTCATTGTTGATTTGGGTTGTTCGCAAATGCCTAACGTCATCTTTATTTATACTTTTTCTCGAGGAAAGGTTTGATTTGAACTTTGTTATAAATAATGACCAAGGAAAAAGATCATTATTGGGGCTAAAAAGAATTTGTTGTAGAAGAAGAATATTTGATTTGAGTTGTTCAGTTGCAAATTTCCTAACGTCGCCCTTATTTATACTTGCATAAGGTTGCATTTAAATATTATTCTAAATAGTTTTATATTCTACTTATTTAATAAATTATTCTAGATAGCTTTGTCTTCTATCTATTTAACAATTATTTGAATATTTCTATAAGTCATTAAAAATATCTAGAACATCGACATAATTTCAAATACTTAAAGGTATTATCCTACATAACTAACTAATTATTTAAAATGATTTGTGCCCAAAAATAATCATCTTTATTTTTCTCTCATCACCTTTTTTAAATGGAAAGCTTATAAATCTCTCTATTTCTGTACTAGGTGATGTTATTGCAGCTTTTTAGAAGGACTGAAAGATTTATCAATTCATATTGTAACCATAATGTATTAACAAAAACTGACAATTTGAATTTTGCTCCTCATAATTTCTATATATTGTATTAGTTTAGATTTACCATATTATTTGTTTTTGTGAATATCATTTGGTTTCATTAATCAATTCAAAGAGAAGTCCTATATGTCCATACATGTAATATTTTTTACTAACACACTAATGGAAGAAGGTTTAAGCTTTTACAACTTCAGTTAATTTGTTAGTTTTGTAGGTTTAATTCCTGGACCGCAAGTATTCATTTTCACAAACATGAACATGTTTTGTGTTAGTAGTATACTATTCTTTGGGAATCACTTACCAGTATATTATTGGCTTTATGTTGATAGCTAATTTATCGTGTATTATTTTTGTTACCATGATAGATTTTATATATTGACTAATGTGTTTATATATAGAGCTTACATGGACATTACCGAAGAGCAGGAATTTAAGGATGCATGGAGGTGATATATCATTAAAACCTCATTTCAACTCTCGTGTAACATGTTTATGACAAAAAAAAAAAGTACTACTTTACAATGATTGTAATTCCTCTTGACCTCTTCTAGCTTAAAATTTAAATAAACAAAAATTAGATCTTATTTATAAATGTAATGCGTAATTTATTTGAAAAGTAAAGAAAATGATGTTAGATTTAATGAATTTTTTCTTTGGAGTTAATTAACAAGACAATATAATGGTGAATTTTGTTAGTTACATGAAATTTACAATTATATTTAATACTTTTTAATTTTATTTTATAAATATATTAGATTTAGGCTAAAGGACTAGAATGAATATTTTTTGTTACACATTAACAACAATTTGAATAAGGTGAAATATATTAAAAACCAAAATAAACACCTTTTATTACACATTAGGACAATTTCAATAAAATGAAGTATATCTATAAACCAAAACAACACATTATTCATATTTTCTCATATTTTTTAAAAATAAAACTAATTTGAGATCCTTTGGTATGTTCCTTACTTCCAAATTTCAATTGCTATATAGTCACAATTTACAAGTCAAACTTTGACACAAAATAAATGATCAGTCAACATTTTCTTCTAAAGATTTAAATTACATTCCATATATTTCCACAAAAAAATTTGGAAATAAAATATAGAAAAGAAAAAAAAAATTCATTTTCAATCTCTCACTATAAATTAACATTTCCTCTGAACCTTAAAAAGTATCCCAAATTTCAAAACAAATCTTACTCCTTGAAGAAGATAGGAATTTAAGCAGAATGGGAACAAGGAAGAGGAGGACAGAAATCGAGAAACTCACAAAGCAAAGTGATAGATTGACGACATTTTCAAAAAGAAAGAAAGGAATTTTTAAAAAAGCTGAACTACTTGAATCCTTGACAAGTTCTCGTGTTACCTCCGTTGTTTTTTCACCTTCTGGCATTCCTTATACTTACGGAAATGTTAACTCTGTTATCAAAAAGCATTTTCCTAGCTGTAATCGATCAGAAATATCAACAACGGTAATGAATTCTCATCATGATGTTTCTGGCGAATCTTCGGGGTCAAAATCATTATCGATCCCAAAGGAGAATGGTCTCCGTCGTTGGGTGGAGGATATAGATGTGGAAGGGTGTCAAAATTTAAATCAACTGTTTATGTTGAAGGAGCAATTAGAAGGAACCAGAGAGAAAATTATTTCCAGTGATCCTGAGTCATTTGAAGCTTTGTTTATGTAGGCATGTCTCAATAGAATTTGTGGTCTAAAAATAGAGCATGGGCATATTTATTTTAGAAAATTAAAAATCAATTGTACTATTGTTAAGATGCAGTTCAGAATCAGAAGCAGACTATTAGAAGTTTTTTCCATGATATGATTTTAATTATTTAGATTTATCATATGAATGAGCATTGAGCGAATTTTATAAATCAATTATTTTGTTATTGTATTTTCAAAATTGATGCTACGCTTGTGAATATCATTTGTTTTTGCTTTACCAATTTCACTGTTAAATAGTTCACTTTTCAAAGTAATGTGTTATATGCCTAACGGATATCAAATTGGACCCGCGGCAAATTGAAATCTTGCCATCGGTTCGCCGCTAGTCCAATTTGAGTACTGGATCGGATTTACAAGATGAGAATAATTTGTATTATTTTTAATACTTCAAAGATATTTTAAGCCTTTTTTTCGATTAATAAATTAAAATTAGGACTACTTTTATTTTTGACCCTTTTCTCTATAATTATCGTCAATTTATTTTAAACGAGAAAACATGTCTTTTTATTTGTCTATTTTCTATTAATTTAAATCATATAACATCTCGACTCTTAAATGAAGAGACGTGTTTTTTTCATTCATATTTGTTTACTGTTTGATTTAATTATTATTTTTAAGTGTTGTACAATGGAAAGTAATAGTTGAGAATTATTGTTTTTTTTTTCAATTATAAGTAATAATACTAAAATAATTTGGTTTCTAGAAACTATTTGATTAAATTAAGAAAAAAAAAGTAAATTATGTTGTTTTTTTTTTAGTCAACTCAACTTAATTATTTATGGAGAAAAAAGTATATTAGCACTCAACTTAATTATTGTCTTGTAGTTGTATGAATTCACCGCGGGTCAAGGGACCAAGTCTCTTCACAAAACTAGGAACATATGTGTTGGTCAATATTTTTCAAATATATTTGTGTGTAACTTATTAGTATCATCTTAAACGAAAAGACATATATTATTATTTGTTTTTTTTTTGTAGAAAATATTAATTCATTTAGGTATAATTTATCACTATTTTAAATAAAAAAAAGTTTTTTCTTCATTTATCTATATTATTATAGTGATTCAAATCATTGTTTTATCGAAAAAGGGTGATTTTCGAAAAGAGTTTGTTTTTTAGACTTTTAGGAGTCGCCACTTAATTTTTAAGAAAAATCAAGAAAACTTCGTTTCTAAACAACTTAAACAGAAAAATTGTTTTGAAACATTTTAAGGGTTCGGGATTCCTATTAGTATCTTAGGAAGGTGTTTAAGGCACCTAAGATACTCCGTTAAACGCGGTTTTCCAGCGACTAACTATTTGACTATTTATTTTAACTTTTACAAATCGAAGTTTAAACTTTACCAAAATTTCTTAGCCGAACTTTACAAATTTGAAACATTTGTTATCTAAATTGTAATTTGTGGATCTATTCCAAAGTCAAATTTCTTTAGAATTTCATCCAAACAGGTTACAAGTTTTTCCACGCTTATCATTTTAAAATTCCATTAAGGTTAAACCTTTTAAACTTTTTACTCTAAGCAATTTTCAAACTTAAACATCCATCTTTGATATTTTAGTTTTAGTTTTAATCCTGATAAAATAGAAGGCGTTCGGCGGGGTTTGGAGTTTCTAATCCTAGACTATACGACATTCCAAAAAAATAACATAAACAAATAATAAAGAGGGAGAGAGAGAGATTCGGGTCCAAGTTTCGGATGCTGTTCGCCTTGGCCGAAACTCGAACCCACCTGATTTTTGGGTTTTTAACCCATTCACCTGTCCTAATCTAATATACGAAATAAAATGCGAGAAAAGCAAAACAAGAGGGCTTATGCCCATTACAAAAACAAAATACAAAAATGTAAAGTAAAGAAATTTCTAATCTATTTCTTCAAATTTCTCCAATCTCCTTAACTCCGGGATCTCCTCGTTGGTTTCAAGGCTTGACTCGATGGAAGAAAGCATGAGTCTTTACGACTCCTCCAGAATGCAAAGGGGGGAGTGTGAGTTCGTGATGAAACTCGGACGGATTTTTGCGTGCAAAGGAAAGAGGCAAGTACGAAGTTAGTATTTTGATAGAACAATAAAATTCGATAAGACAGAGCTACTCCAGTACTGATTAGCAGCAAAGCATCAAAGCCGACCAACAAATAACACAACATCATATGCACAGCATATATATACCATCCTCTGTTAGTTAAACACTCTACCCGTTGACACGACTACTGGACAATAGATGCGGGAGGGTTGGCTTCAAACTCACACATCAATAGGTACACATATGTAATACAAAGAGGGGATATATAAAAGGGGGGCGCATGCTCATGGGATCATTCTGAAAGAAGACATGAACGTAGACAGCCATTTCTTGACCACCAGACTAAACCTAAACTCAACGAAACAAAAAAAATAAAAAAAATTTCAACACAACCTTGTCATCGTAAAGACTACAAAAGGGAAAGATGGGAATTCACTCACTTTGGCAAACGTTTGAGACATTAATGTATCACGAAAACTCCCTACTTAACAAAACAGAAGACAAAATTTACGAAGGCTAGGTTCGAAACAGAATGCCAAAGCAAGACAACTAATATTCAAGCGATGGCTTTCCAAAACGGAACTAAGTCAAGACCCATACGATGAAATCTACGCCATGACAAACTCACAACAAGCAGATGAGCAGTGCAAAACGAGCAAACGCAACAGAAATGAAATAACCGACGAAAGAAAAAACAAACGGAAACATCGCGCAAGACCTTGCAGATTAAGCCAACAAACAGGGGTACAATATCTCATTATCACAGCAACTCAAAACAACGACTCGAACTCCATAAAGAAAATTGATAAAAACTGGAAAAAGTACCTCTTTCGGAGCAGCGACAGGGACAGTACGAACAACAACAGATGACGACCTCCACCACTCGAACGAACCAGCGGGTGGTGATTGCAGCACAAGGGACTTTCAATCTTTGAAAGTCTCTTTCGCGATTTGAAGGTTCCGTTCGTCTACAGCAAACGGGAAAGGGCCAAAATATATTCTCTTTCGTTTTTGTTACCACGGACGGGAAAACAGAACCTTGTTTCCTTGAAAGATCTTCCAACTTAATCGCTCAACAACAGATCGAAGTAACAGAATCCTTTTCGAAATTTTGAATCGAATCGCCTAACCAACGTAAAAGGGAAGCCAAATCTTTCTGAAATTTTTTTTTAACCAAGAATTGCTAACGCTAAAAAAATCCCCCCCACCCCCTTTCTTGAGGACGAAAGGGGTTTATATAGGGTTTTCGGAAGAGGGAGGGCGGGAACGACGAGTTTGAAACTTGAATTTTCTCTTTGGGTCAAACCCATCAAGGAACGATGCGTGTGGCGAGGGCGACTACGACGTTTCGCAGACTTTCTTGATAGGATATGGGTCTCTGCCATTCCGTCTCGTTCACGCGAAGGGGAAGGGAGAAGAGTGTGGGGAGAGACGCGGGGTTGTTGGAGTCTCTCTGTTTTTTCGCGTGATTTCTGGGGAATTATGGGTTTCTGTCGAGAGGGGAAGGAGAGAGCGAGCGTGGGGGAGACGCGGGGAGAGGATGAGAGGAAGGGAGAGAGCGAGGAGAGAGCGTGGGGAGGGGGTCGCGTGGAGGGTGCTGTTCTTCCTGGGAATGGGGTCGTGTGGGGAAGAAGAGAAGGGGTGAAACGGGTCGGAGCGGGTAAGGGAAAAAGGATGGGGCCGGGTTGGGAAATGGGTTGGGTTAAAATAAAAGGGATTTGGGCTGAAAATAAACAAAAGGGAAATGGGCTGTTGGGTCTGAATTGGGTTGGGATGAGGAAAGGAAGCCTTAAGATGCACACATATACATATACATATATGTATATACATATATCTTATTTTCGCAGGATTTATAAAACCAATTAACTTTAAATAATTTGGAAAACTCACGAAGCTCGATAATTAACTTATACCGACGCGGGTCAAAAATTGGGTGTCAACAATCATATTTATCAAAAAAGTTCTAAAATTGATGTTTCGTTATTGTAGTTTCAGAATATATTTATCACAAATTCTAATAAACTTATAGTACAATGTTTTAGTTTATTATCACACAATTCTAATATATTTTAAAACAATTATAAAGCAAATATATTGCATACGTATTTTATTTTATATCATATTACAGATTTATCATAGTACTGATATATATTGCTATAAATGGTAATAAATAAAAATTATTGCTAAAATTAGTAATTATTTATTTAAAGGTACTATTCAAGTTATTTTTTCATAAAAAATTAACTCCTTAAAAGCTTGCAATTGCGAGCTCATTTAAATTGACTTAAAAAAGTAAGTAGCTTTTTAGTTAAAATTAAAAAGTTAAATTGAAATGACTTTAAAATAAAAAAATAAAAAGTAGGGGAGAGTTGTTGATCCGAATGAATCATCCTTTCCACGAAGGTAAATCTTTGCCTTCTAGGCAAGAGGATACAATTCGATTTTTTATTTATTTTGAGTCATTTTTATCTTGTCTAATCGTTGCTGATTTAGTTTTAAGTCATCTTTACTTATTTTATTATATATATATATATATAATAAAATAATAGAATTAGGATGAAAAAAGAAACACCATTCATAATAAAATAAATTTTATATTATTTATGATGTATTAAAAATACTTCACCAATGATCATTATTATTAAAAATTTTCCTCAAATCGCCCAAGAAAACAAGTTAATATTAATGGATTGTGATATTTTATTCAACCATATAGACATTGCAATAGGAAAAAGAAAGTAAAATGTATAAGCTGATAAACAGATGGTACAAATACTGAAACACATATAAATCTAACCACTCTCATGGCTCTGCTGTCGTCGAAATCGAAGAGAGTGGTAGTATCTCTGCCGGTGCTGCTCCTCTCCGATGCCGTATTATTCTTCTTTCTTTTTTCTTCACCATCATCATGTAATTATTAGGATTGAAATAAGCAGGTG